TGTCGTTGTCGCTGTCGTTTTCGTCGTCGTCTTAATCATCGCTCTCCCCGGGTGCTCGAGCCGGCGGTAGCCCCACGACGACGACGGACCACCACGGTCGGCTCCCCGCGGGCTGGGCACCCCAAGGAGGCGACAACGACGGCGACGACGACGATGACCGCTTGCGGCCGGCTCCCAGCGGCTCGCACCCCGAGGGAGCGAGGACCACGTCGATGTCGGCCCACGACGGCTGGATCCCGGCGGTTCGAACACACCGGAGGGCGACGGCGACGACGACGACGACGACGATGAGCCACTACAGCCAGCTCCTGGCGGCTCGAGCGCCCAGAAGGGATCGACGACGGCGACGACGACGCCGACGCCGACGACGACGATGACCCCCTACGACGGGCTGCAGCCCACAAGCCGCGCCTCCTTCGCCGCCCCTGGCGCGCTCCGCGCGCCCGGGAGGGTCCAGCGCCGATCCAACAAAATCCGCGCGGGCCTCCGACAGTTTATGGTTTATGTCCCTCGATGTGAAGGCCCGGCCCCTCTCACCTGCACCCTGGGCGCGCCGCCGAAAAACTTCCCAATAACTATTCTACTGCGGCAATCCATGGGGGCCTCTCATACCACCCTGGTGGCCCCGAAACGCAAATTACGAGGGTAGAACAGGAAATCGACCACAAGAAACCCTCCACGAGAAACCCAACCCTGAGACCCCAGGACGTCCAATGATTTGTGGTGTGGCAGCGTCACGACTCCCATCGCAAAACCATCGCCACCCAAGAAACCCAGGGCACCCTGGAGGCAAGCAGTGTGTTTCTTGGCATGGGTTCCTACTGTAATGAGCACTGAGAAAGTACTGAGCCAGACGGGCCAGATGAAGCCAAGCATTAAGCCAGATGCCGCGAACTTCATCGAGATTGGACTCGATGGAACGGGGCAGGCAAGCTTAGGCCGGAATTTCGACCACGTATGCAGCAGGGGCCCCCTGGAGGCATCCGCCATCGATGGGAAGGCCCCTCGATGAGGTGGGGCGGCCCCCTGGAGGCACCCGCCCCTCGATCGTCGATCCCCAGGAAGGCGTGGGAGAACATCGAGGTGCTTCTCGGCATGGGCCTCCGCTGTGCGCACGACTCCCGACGGCCCGTTCGGATCCTTGGGCCCGCGCCGGGAGCCACCCCCTGGCGGCGCCGGAGGCGCCGCGGGCCGGGCGCAGACGCAGGACGCCCGCGCGGAGCCACGGCAACTGTAGGGACCCTGGGTCACACAAGCAAGTAGATACACAGAACTAGCAGGATGCCCCCTATTTTCCTCTACAGGGCAATTTTTAATACATTGGTTCTTATGCATATAGGACTTTTAATACATGATCAAACTATGTATAGATGTATGCATTAACTCACCTTTTTTTGATACTAAATCCCTGCATGTTTAATACATGATCCGCACGCGGAGCATGTTTAAAAATGGCACTGTCTGTTCTGGGTCTTTGTCCCCCCCCCCGCCCCACTCCCCATGTTCTCCCACGCCTTCCTGGGGACCGACGGTCGATGGTGTCTGTGTGCTCTCTCCCCTCCCGGTGACGGCTGTCGGCGGCGGGCGAAGAGCAGATGCCTAGGCTCTTTTCGGGGGCGGCCAAGAGGGGGGTGTCCAAAAGGAGGGGGTGCAAATCATGGCCGGTGGCATGTGCGCGGCCAAACGGGGGGGCCAGGAACGTCATGAAATAAGAGGCGGCGCCATGAAATCTGGGGAAATATCGTGGCCCGCGCCATGATATCCACCGCCCCCCTAGTCATCACCCCCCTCTCTGCCGCCCCCGATCCTCGGCTCGGCCTGGCCACAGAGAGGCTCGTCCGGGGACGGCCCCCGCGCCTTCCGGGGCTCCGCCCCGCTCGGTCCCCGTCTCGCCTCGCGCCTCCTCCTCGACCCCCTTTCCCTCGGCGGCGAGAGCGAGGGGGGGGAAGCGAGAAGTCTCTTCTTACCAGCCTGGAACATATCCCTATCTTCGCCTCGCCTCGCCTCGCCTCGCCTCTTCTTCGCCCCCCTTCCCTCGGCGGAAGAGCGAGGGGGGGGAAGCGAGAAGTCTCTTTTCTCAACAGCCTGGGCCATATCCCGATCCCTAAGCTGGGCATCGCCCCATCACAGTGCCAATCTTAGGGCTTCCCTTATTTGTTGAGGGCGCATCCCTAAGGTTGTCATCGCCTTTTGGCGTGTCAATCTCAGGGATAGGGATAAGTCCGAGGCTGGTAATTTGCCTGTCTTCGAGGAAGGCCCGGGACGCTTCTCGGACGGCCGGGGACCTCCAGGCGAGCGCGCTCCACTGCTCGCAGGGTGACTGCTCGCAAAATGGCCTGGATCCGCCGCGGGGGATCTGCGCCAAATTGCATCGGGACAGACATTTGTTTTTCGGACGTTTGCGAGTAGGCACTTCGCGCGTGGAGGAACGCGCTCGCTAATCCTCGCCCCCCCTCCTTCGGCGGCGAGCGATGGGGGGGACATGAGAAGGAGAAGGCCTTCTCAGAACGCGGCGGGACTTCTCAGAAGCCCTCGCGCCTTCCGATGAGTTTTCTCTCTCCTCGAAGAAAGCTGAGAAAACTTTTCAGAAGGCTGGGGGACTCCCGCGAACCTTCTGAGACGGCCTTCCCCTTCTCACCTCGCCGCCGAATTTGTTACTTCTTCGAGGGACGGGAGTCTGGGAAAGGCTCGCAATGTCGGTGCTTGGAGGGGCAACGCCAAATGGGGCCAGCGCAGGGGAGGGAAACGTCGAGCCAGAGTGGGCGATACATCACCAACAGATCGGCGGTAGGTCCCTGATAGCGACTCCACATGTTCCTGGGCGGGGTGGGCTATCGGACCTCTATCGGCAGTGGATGGGCGATTGGGGGTCGAACCGCTCCCCCTCTGAGCCTGTCCTCTCGCTGCCCCTGGTGCCTGGGGACCGTGGCGGCACCCGCGGCAATCCCTGGCACGCGGGGTGCCGGGACCAGGGGCGGGGGTTAGATTTCGGCGGACGTCGATGCTGGCGCTCGAGCGCGGGCCGCTCCCCCAAAATCCCAGGGAGCCCACAATGGACGTACGCGCCCAGCTGTGTATATGAGCACGGCCCCTTGATCCGCGAGACTGGCCGCGTGATACGAACACGTTCGCCATGCGTACTGTGTACTCTCGAAACCAGCGTGGATTCATCTACGTGTGCGGCCTCCTTTCGCTCCTGAGAGCTCGCCCCCGTGATGGTCGGGGGTGGGGGTGCCGTGTTGGGCCACGAGGTGGCGAGCTTGGCGCGTCGTGCCGAAGCGTGACGGGCCAGAGCCGGCGGCGCGACACGCTCAGCAGGAGCCATCGTGCTACCATCAGGTCGGGCCTGCCCCCCTCCAGGCGGATTGGACGAAAAATGGAAAATACTCAAAATATGAATAACAATTGCCCAAAATACTCAAACATCATCCCCAGACAATGTTTTCTTATTCTTGAATAGTTATTCCCCCTGTAGAGGGACAGGCCCGACTTGAGGCTACCTCAAAGAAACGCCGAGTGATGAACGGAGGGGCTTCCCTGGCCACGGCGAGCCTCAGCCGCTCATGGCTGTTCCGACCTGGATCGCAGGCCTGGCCGCACCACCCGGAGCCCCTCCTCGACTCGAAATGGCCCTTGCTCCAGCGTGCTGCCCGCGCCTCTGGATCGAAGGCCTGGCCGGACCACCAGGAGCTCCTCCTCGACTCGAAGTGGCCCTTGCTCCAGCGTGTTGCCCGCGCCTCCGCCCACCCCAGGAGGAGGAGGAGGAGGAGGAGGAGGAGGAGGAGGAACCACCCTCGGCTGGCCACTGCGGCAGGGTCCCCCCTCTGCCAACAGCCCGAAGAGCTCGAGGGCGGCAAGCCGACCGCGCCGGCACCGGCAAGACCGACGACGGCGAAGACGACGACGACGGCGGCGAAAACAAAGACGGCGACGACGACGGCGTGAATCACGACGGTAGTGGCGACGATGACAACTGCGGCATTGGCGACGACGACGGCAAACGCTGTGTAGACGACGGCGACAGCGCGGACGGCGGCAGAGATGGCTGCGCCGACGGCGTAGACGACGGCGACGGCGACGCGGGCGGCGGCGTCCCCAGCGACGTGGACGCCGTCGGCGACAACGCAGACGGCAGTGGCGCCCGCGTCACAAGCGTCAGGTCGGGCCTGTCCCCCTGCAAGGGGGATTTGGGACGAAGCAGCAAAAATACGCAGCAAATGCTCAAAAACAATTGAAAAAATGACGGAATCATCGACCCCACACTATGTTTCGCCTGTGTTTGAATCTCCCCCTGTAGAGGGACGTGCCCGACTGAAGACCAGCGACGACAAGCGACGAGTTGAGCAGGGACCGACCGTCCCGGCATTCCTTTAGTCCTACCACGACATGTTCTTATCATCCCCCAAAAAATTAACAAAAACAATGTTCTTAGAACATAAACCCGATGTGTTCAAGCAAGGCAGACCCCGCCTGAAATGTTCCAAGCACATGTCGTTGGGAACCACGAAAGGTTCTTAGAACATTGTTTGGTAGGGCTATAGGCAAGCCAAGACGCTTCGCCTCTGCTTGACCTTAGTGGGCCCCGGGAGCGGCAGGGCCGTTTTTTCACCGTTTCCAAAAAATCTCCCTTGAAAATGGAAACGGCCAAAAACGGCGACCGGAAAAAAAAGCACAGAAACGGCTCCAGGATTGGAACCGGAGCCGGAACCGGTCAAAAAACGGCGACGGAACCAATGAACAAAACGGCGTCGGAAGCGGGAACAAAAACGGCAAAACGGAACCGGTAAAAAAACGGCCCTGGCGTTCCCAGGGCCCACTAAGTGCTTGACGACTTGAGACCAGCGAGGGCACGCGACGAGCGCGGCGACGAGCGACGACGAGCGACGACGAGCGCGGCGAGCGCGACGAGCGCGGCGACGAGCGACGACCAGCGAGGACACGCGACGAGCGCGGCGACGAGCGCAGGCGGCGCCGGCCGCGGGCCGCGGCGGCGCGCCCGCCTGGCCCCGGGGGTGGCGGGCGAGGGCCCCCGGCCGAGCGCCGCCCGCGGCCAGGTGGTGCAGGGCGGCGGCGGTGAAGAGGTGCAGCGAGGAGGAGGCGGCCTCGCCGCGGCCGCCCGCGGCAGAGGAGGAGGAAGAGGAGGAGGAGGAGGGGGAGGAGGGGGAGGAGGAGCAGGAGGAGGAGGAGGAGGAGGAGGAGGAGCAGGAGCAGGAGGAGGAGGAGGAGGAGGAGGAGGAGGCGGCAAAGAGGTGCAGCGAGGAGGAGGCGGCCTCGCCGCGGCCGCCCGCGGCAGTGGGCTACAGCGGGGGCGCGTGCCAAGAAGCCAGTTGGATTTTGCCAGGGTGCCTTGGGTTTCTTGCATTTCGATGGGCCCGCAATAAGATCTTGACGATTTTCGAGCGACAGATTTGGGTATGTTCACTCAACAAACCGCGGATTTCAGGGTTGGGTTTCTTATGGCCGAGCGCCCACCGTACACTCAGGTCGGGCCTGTCCCCCCCTACAGGGGGACTGTGGGCGAAAAATTAGAGATACACAAGACATGCTCGAACAAAGGTCAAAGAGAGTCAAAACATCGTTCCCGGACTATTTGTTTAACTACTATTCTTGAATATTCCCCCTGTAGAGGTACAGGCCCGACTGGGCCTAACCACCCCGACAAGCGAAGCCGTTTCGTAAACGCGCCCACGGAAGGAATCGAACAGGGCAGGGCTGTTTAGTAACCGCCCAAGGCCGAATAGTTCACGGCAATTATCGGGTCCGAGAGTTTTTTTCTTCCCTTGACATTGCTCGGGCGCATGTTCCCGTGCACTGTTTGGCCTCGCGCGCGCCCAGAAGACTCCAAGACGATCCAGATGCTCTGGCGCTGGCCTCGTCGAGAACAGTGCACACAGACGGGCGATGCCAAGGGGCAAGGCCGTCGCCGTCGCTGCCGCGTGGGCGACGTCGCCGCCGCCGCCGCCAAAGCGGAGGAGGGTGCGGATGGGGGCAGGCGGTGCCCCCCTGGAGCGCCGCGCGGCGGGGGCTTCATGGACAAGAGGGGCCCTAGGCCTTCGCAGAGAACGGCGGGGCCTACAGTCAACCCGTACAGTAAGGATGCACGAGGGCCTTGGCCGCCCACTTCGAAGCTCTTCGAGCGGGGCGCGGCCAACGGAAGTGGCCAAGGATGGGCCGAGGAGGCAAGGATGCAGGGGCGCCCTTGGAAAAATCGCTCATCCTTACCATGCGTGTCGACTGTATGAGAAGCCTTCCGGCCTCCTAAGAAGTGTTCCGTGTCTTCGGGGAAGGCGCAGACAACTTTCCAAAGGCCCGAGGCTGTCTGAGCCTTCTGAGATGGTCCGTCTCCTCTCTCTTCCCCCCTGGGCTCGCCGCCGAAACACGCACCGCGACCACGACCACGCCGACGACGGAGGACGTTAGCGGATCGTTTGCGGGCGTGGGCGTGAACGATCGCAAGGGGTCGTGGAGGACGCATCGGGACGACTTCTGCGTGCGTCCCCCCAACCCCCCCTGGACGTTGCAGAGAGGACAAGCGCGGCCTCGCCAAGGCGCCAAGCTCGCCATCGCTCGGACGTTCATTCCCCCGTGCATGTTTCGGCGTCGTGCGTGCTTTCTTCTCTCTTGCAAGAGGATCCAGGATGCTGCTCTAGGAGGAGGAAATACGGCATAAGAATAAACTCTGGACGTTCCGCGCGGAGTTCTTGGATCAGCGCTGGACCCTGCCTCCCTGGCGCGCGGAGCGTGCCCGGGGCGGCGCCGGAGGCGCCGCCCTGGGGCCCGGCGCGGATCCAAGACATCCGCGCGGAGCGCCAAAGGTTATGTCTTATGCCGCTTTCTCGTCGTCGATGCTTGATGGTCCCCGCCGAGTCAAGATGCACACGTCCGAGCGATGCCAAGCAAAAGAGCGGCCGCACGCCGCGGAGGTGGATGGGCGGCGCGCGGAGGCGCCGCGGGGCGGGAGAAGGGAAACAAAAACGCGCCTGCCCTGTGGCAGGCCCACCGCAAGGGGCCACAGCCGTGGCCGCGGTGCTCCCCAGGCCTCAGAGCACGGAGCCCCCTCGAGGAGGAGGAGGAGGAGGAGGAGGAGGAGGAGGAGGAGGAGGAGGAGAAGGGGGAGGAGGAGGAGTGGAGGAGGAGGGGAGGAGGAGGAGGAGGAGGAGGAGGTTGGGGAGGTGGAGGTGGTTGGAGGAGGAGGAGGAGGAGGAGGAGGAGGAGGAGGAAGAGGAGGAGGAGGTTTGGAGGAGGAGGAGGAGGAGGAGGAGGAGGAGGAAGAGGTGAGGAGGAGGAGGAAAAGGAGGAGGACGAGGTTAGGAGGAGAGGGAGGAGGAGGAGGAGGAGGAGGAGGAGGAAGAGAAGGCCCAGCCTGACCGCCACCAGGACGCCGGAGGAGAGGAAGAAGACGGCGTCTGTCCACCTAAACCGATCAGGCCCAGGCCAACTCTGCTTTGATCGCACACGATGGTAGCGATACGTCGTACCATCGAGGCAGGCGGCACAAAGCCTGTCGGCGTGACACGCAAGATGCAGCCACAGACCCACGATGGAACAAAACATGACTGCAGTTACAATCAGCGGCACGCCGAAGGAGGGAGTCAGAGGGGACAAGCCTTCTCAGAAGGCGGCGGGGCTTCCGAGAACCCTCAGAGGGCTTCTCAGAAGGCTGGAGGCCTTCCGAGGCCTTCCGAGCCTTCTGAGAAGGCCCGCCCCCCTTCTGGGGGGGGGGGGACTTCTTCGCGGATCGGTGATCCGAGGATCGAAACTTCGAGGATCGAACCTGTACCTTTTTTCGTTCGTTTGGGGCCTTCTCCTCCTCCTCCTCCTCCTCCTCCTCCTCCTTGCCCCCTGGGCGCGCCACCGATGCATCTGCGCAGGCCCTGGATCAGGAAATGCGTCCCCCCGGCCTGGCGAAGAGCAGCAGATCCACCGAGCAAGGGCCCCGCCAGGATCGGTGCTGGCGGGCATCTGGCGTCCTCCAGCCAGGAAGAACGGCAAGTTCCCGGAAACGCCGCGGGGCGGGGGGGGGCTGCCACTTGAGGCGTCCCCGCGACGCATCCGTCTCCTCCTCCTCCTCCTCCTCCTCCGCAGTCTTCATTTCCTTATGACGCTCTGCGTCCTCCTCCTTCTCCTGCTGCCGCTCCACATCGCGTTCCTCCTCTCCCTTCTCCTCCACCATCCTCTTTCTTCGCATTTCCTTTTATCCTTCTCCCCATCCACTCCACATGACCTCCCTCCCGGACGTCATGATCCTCATCCGCTTCCTCCTCTTTACCCCCCTCGGCGTAGACGGCCACCTCGCGAAGGACCGAGCAGCACGACTGCCGCTACAGACGCCGAGACTCTGCGGACCACCACCCCCGCTCGCCCTGCGCAGCGCAAGGGGAGTTGCGTAAGCCACGGCAGGGCGGGAAAAACGGCACGCCCATCCCTTGCCCAGAAGATTGAGAGATGGCACGTGGGCAAGGAGGAGGTTCGCAGGGCTTTCGCTGGGACCCACCGTTTGGGGGACGCTTTGGAAGGCTCCTCCTCCTCCTCCTTCTTCGGCTGCAGCTCCTCAACTTCCCCCTCACCTTCCTCGAGCATCCCTCCTTCTGCCCTCCTTCATGCCTTCTCCCTCCATGCACTCCCTCGCCGCCGTCGTCGATGTCCTCGTTCTCCTCCGCGTCCCCTTACACATCCCCTTCATTCACCTTTCCCGATTCCTCATGTTACTCCGACGCCTATTCCTCCTCTCCATATCCCCGTCCGTCCCTCCACCCCCGCCCCATCCGCCTACTGCTCCCCTTCCTCATCATCATCGTCGTCTCAGCATCCTCAATCACTCGCCCCCTCTTACGCTCCAATCATCGGTCCCAACCCTGCTCCTTCTTCGATGCGCAGGCACATCTCTTTCAGACCATCCGCTGGTGCCTCCTCCACATCCTCCTCCTCAGCAGCAGCATCAGCATCATCATCACAATCATCACCATCACCACCCCCATCACCATCAACATCACCATCAACGTCACCATCACCGCCACCGTCGTCATCATCACGAGCAGCAGCAACATCATAATCGTCGTCGCCGTCACCACCACCACAACCAACATCACCGTCATCATCACCATCACCAGCAGCAACATCATTATTATCATCTTCGTCAGCATCAACATCATCATCAACATCGTCATCATCATCAGTAGCAACATCATTACCATCCTCGCCATCAGCATAACTTCATCATCATCACCAACCTCATACTCATCAGTCGCATCATTACAAGCAACAGCATCATCAGCATCAGCAGCGTCAACGATATCGTCATTATCGTCATCGATATCATCGCCATCAGCATATGCATCATCACCATCCACATTTTTCATGCGTCAAATTCACCAGCATCGTTTTTACCAGCATTACCACCATCAGCATCGTCATCATCACCTTCATCACCATCATCACGATCACCATCATCACCATCATGATTATCATCATCAGCATCAGCATCATCATCGTCACCATCATCATGCCCATCACCATCACAGTCACCATCACTGTAACCGCCACCATCACCATCACCATCACCAGCATCATCATCATGTCACCTCCAGCACCACCACCACCATCGTCGCCACCATCGTCCTCATCATCATCAGCATGGTCATCATGTTCATCAGTATCATCATCGTCATCAGCATCGTCATCATCACCATCACCATCACCATCATCATCATCAGCATCATCAACATCATCAACATCATCAACATCAACATCATCATCATCATCATCATCACCATTATCATCATCAACATCATCATCATCATAATCCTCTTTCCCGTCTCTCCCACCCTGCCTTCCATCCTCCTCCGCACTGGTCGTCTTCCTCTCTGTCCTCCCTATTGTTCTACCTCTGCTGCTGCTGCTCCTGCCTCTGCTCCTGCCTCTGCTCCTCCTGCTGCTCCTGCTGCTGCTGCTCCTGCTGCTGCTGCTGCTGCTCCTGCTGCTGCTGCTGCTGATGCTCCTTATGCTGCTCCTCCTCCGCCTCCTCCCCTTCTCCCCCCCTTCTCCAACCGTCATTACACCACCCTCGTCGCCCACCTCACTCTCGAGTCCCCGAGTCAGCTTGCGCCCCCCGCCGCTTGCCCCCCCGGAGTCCCTCCTCCTGCTCCTGGTCCTCCGCCTCCTTAGCCCTCTTCCTTATCCGCAACTGTGCCCCCTGGCACGTTGAGCCGTGCTAGAATACCAAGTGTGCGGTCTGGTAGGATGTCTGTCATCTTCTACGGGCCCGCCCCCTATAGTGAGTGTTTCTTTTATTCGGTGTTTCGACATTGGGCGGAAGGGGGGGGTCTGGCTGCAGCTGGCTGCAGTCTGCTAAATGCGACTGTTTGCAGCAGTGCGGCCGATGGGGCAGGGACCCCACCTGCTCGAAACAGGCGCCCAAAGCAGACAAGATCTACTCCACGGGGGGGGGAGGGAGGGGGGGAGGGGTGCGAGGGCCGGCTCCGATCGGCAAAACAATGAATAAAAAAACGCCCACCTAGTCGCACGTCGCTGCATGTTTTGCGAAAGTATGGCAAGTTCGCGGCCCCGAGGCCATCACCTCCACTGCAGATTCGCCCTCTCGAGGCGACAAATCGCAGCAACAATTGCGGTTTCGCGCCCCCGAAGCCAAAATCCTGCAAAAAAAGGCCCAAGATGGCTTTAATACGGCTCATTTGGCTTCAAGATTGCCCACGATGGCGCCAAGGTGGCCTCACGGCGGCCCGCAAGCACCCACCATACGGCCAAGAGGGCCCCAAGTCGGCCAAAGACAGCCCCAAGCCGCCCTAAGTTGGCAGAAGCATCGCCCAAGAAGGCCCCAAGGGACTCGCCAAGACTGCCTCGCAGAAGGGCGAAGTCAACAACAGGACGCCTGAAACGCGTTCCATGAGAGCTCCTCGGACAGTGAAGAGTACATGTGTCACATGTGACGACCTTCTTGTTCCTCCTTCTCTTCCTCATCATCGACATCACCATGCTCATAATCATACGCATCAGCATCATGATCACCATCAACAACAATATCGTCACTGTCGTCATTATCAGCATTACCATCACCATCACCGTCACCATCGCTATCACCAGCATCACCACCACAATCGTCATCATCATCATCACCATCACCATCATTATCATCATCTCATCATCAGCATCATCATCATAATCATCATCATCATCATGATCATGATCATGATCATGATCATCATGATCAGCATGATCATGATCATGATGATAATGATGATGATGATGATGATGATGATGATGATGATGATGATCATCATCATCATCATCATCATCGTCATCAACATCATCTTCATCATCACGGCTCACCCAGGCGTGGCGCCACGAGGTGTCGCACGTGACGGCCTCCCATGCCCCCTCGAACACTTGCCACCCAGAATCCTGGGCCGGCACGGTGGCGGGACTTGCCGCAGGCAGCTGGACGGATAGATGCTCCCTGTCGCACCCCCAGACGCGACGCCACGGCCGGCTGGACGCTTCCGATCCTGAAGCTTGAACTTCGCAGCAGCTGCACGGACGGAGCACAGGTGGTCCAGGGCGAAGCTCCCGCCTCGGCACCACGCACATGAGCCAGAAAAACTCCCAAGTAGTCCCCCGCGCGCGGCAGCCGCTCTCGGGCGCCTCGTGCGCTGGCGAGGGGCACGCGGGAACGTCTCGGGCCGCATGTGCTGGCGAAGATCGCAGGCGATTGTTCCCCCCCAGTCCCCGCGGAGGAGGAGGAGAAGGAGGTCGAGGAGGAGGAGGAGGAGGAAGAGGAGGATGAGCACCAGCCGTTTTCAAAAGGGGGCTCTCGCCCAACGCCGGGCACATTCGTTCTTGACCGAGCTCTCGCCTCAACGGCATGCCCACAGGGTTCTGGTCCTTCAAGGGGGCGCCACTCGTATGGAAAACGAAGGCTTGCAGAGACTTGTGGGGATGGGGACTCATCAACATCGCCGATGCCTCTCGGGTTCACTGTGGTCCTACCTTCTCCTCCTCCTCCTCCTCCTCCTCCATCTTCTCCCCCTCCCTGATCATCCATCCTCCATCTGCTCCTCTCTTGTCGTCCTGGTCGTCTCCGTCGTCGCTGCGCTTGGGGAAAACACATGGTACCGATACCGCTGCTCCCTGGACCTCTCCCGAGGTGCGTTCTGACCGGAATTTCGAGGCGCATCCAGCGGTGACGACGAGGGCCTCCCAAGAGGCCAACAAAAGGGAACACGGGCGAAGGGCAGCGGTATGGGTACCTCTCCCTCTTCTGAGCACTGCCGCCACCACCGTCACCAGCGCCATCACTGGCGCCGTCGTCGCCGTCGCCGCCGCGACCGCCGCCGCGCGCGGGGCCTTGGAGAAGAAGGCAGCGCAGGCTGCCTCGTTGCTGGCCCCCACTGCGCCCAACATCTCCGCCTGAGAACGGCCGGCGGCGCGCCGAACCATCGGTTTGTGTCGTCGGCGTCGTCGCCAACTTCACCGCTGGTAAAGCCATCGCTGTCATCGTCGCCACCGTCGTCGCCGCCGCAACCGCCGCCATCGCTGATCCGTCGTCATCGCCGCCGTCGCCCAAGAGGACGAACGTGGTGGAAAAACCATGGGAGCAGAAGCGCAACAGAAACTCCGGACGTCTGTGGGCGGCAGGCCCAGGGGGGAAGTGAGAAGGAGCAGGCCTTCTCGAAAGGCCTGGAAGTCCGTCTGAGAAGCTTCCTAAGTTCCTGAGCCTCCCCCGAAGACGAAGACAGCCTCTCAGAAGGCGCGAGGGCTCCTGAGAAGCCCCGCTGCCCTCTGAGAAGGCCTTTTCCTTCTCACTGCCCCGCCACGCTCGCCGCCGACTGGCGACCCGATCGGGCAGCGTCATCAGACCCAGGACGCTGTGACTTCTCACAGCGAGCACCTCCGGATGCCTCCACCCTTCCCCTGGGACCGACTCTCCGCCCCGAGCTGCTCTTGACAGTTCCGGGGGCCTGCTGGGAGCGCCCCTCCCCCGCCGCCGAGGGTCGCCATGGTCGCGTTTCAGGTCGCCGTCGTCGGTGTGCCGCCTGGGCAAGGGCTCCCAACTTCGCGCCTCGCGCCGCGCGAAGCGCGAACAGCTTCGGGCTCTCGCGCCGCCTCTTCAGGGGAGAAGAGGAGGATGAGGCATCGGAGCCGAACGGCGAAGCGCGAGGCGCGGACAACTTCGCGCCCTCGAGGGCGCCCCTGCTGAGGCCGCGAGGACCGCCGAGGGTCGTCGCGAGGCCGCGGGGGGGGGCCGCGGATGGCCGGGGGCCTCCTCGGCGCTGAGGGCCGCCGGGTCCACGGGGGAGCCGGTGGCGGAGAGCCACTTCCTGCCGGCCTGCGGGCCGGGAGGGGGGGAGGGCGGGAAGCGTGTGCGCACGTTGCGCGAGCAAGATGCACACATATGTGCGGGTATTTATATATATATATGAATATATTTTTATATATTATATTTATATATATATATTATATATATATATATATACTCCAGGTCTCTCAATAAGCGTGGGGGAGGGATCGCGTGGGTGGGTGGGAAATCGCTGTCCTTCGGGTGGCGTGGGGAGGTTGGGGAGCGAGAGGGGGTGGGTTTTGGGGCGCGTGGGGGGGCGGGCAAGGGGCGTCGGACAGGTTGGCACGGGGTGGGGAATGTTGAAGGATGTGGAGTATATATACAGGGGGGTGGCCCGGTGGGTTCCCATTCGGGCTGATGATGATAGAAGACCTATTTTGTGAAGACTCTATTCGCCTGACGCTCGATGACGCCTGTGACGCCTATATTCTGGCTGACGCCTCTATTGGCCTGACGCCCGATGACGCCTCTGACGCCTCTATTCGTCTGACGCCTTTATTCGCTCGGCGCCGCATTTGCTCTGTCGTTCCCATGGGCCAGACGATCGCTGACACCCGTGACGCCTTTATTCTGGCTGACGCCTCTATTCGGCTGACGCTCGCTGACGCTCCTGACGCCTCTATTCTGCCTGACGCCTCTATTCGCCTGAAGACCGATGACGCCCGTGACGCCTCTATTCCACTGACGCCTTTATTCGGCTGACGCCCGATGACGCCTGCTGACGCCCTCTATTCATGGCTGACGCTCTAGCACTGCATCACATCGCTGACGCTCCTGAACGGCTTACTGGGGTCCTCGACGCCCTCTATTCGCTGAAGACCGATGTGACGCCCGTGACGCCTCTATTTTTCCTTGAAGCTTTATTCGGTGGACGCCCTCCCGGGATCATTATTACCCAAAACTGCAAAAAAAAACACCAGAAATCATTAAAATATAGCCAAAATCACAAAAAAACAACATTGAAAATCACCAAAATATACCCAAAACTGCAAAAAAAAAAAACACTAGCACTGTCCGCGGCGGGGGGTCTCCCGTGGAGAATCTGGCCCCGATTCCCCACCAGAGACCATCCGCCGCGGACGGGGCCCGACACCATGATCAACGGGACCTCCCGGGCCGACTCATGTCAAATCCAGGCCCGACACCATTTGCCAAACGGGCCTGCGCTTCACCATTATCCCAAAATCTGCATGGGAAACACCATCACTGTCCGCCGGGGGGTCTCGTGGAGAATCTGGCCCGATTCCCCACCAGAGACCATCGCCGTGGAACGGGGCCGACCCATGCCAAACGGACCTCCGGGACCATTATCCGTAGGGGCCCGACACCATGTCAAATCCAAGGCCCGACATCATGCCAAACGGGACCTCCCGGGACCATTACTACCCAACACTGCAAAAAAAACAGCAGAAATCATTAAAATATAGCCAAAATCACAACAAAAAACACTGACAATCACCCAAATATACCCAAAACTGCAAAAAAAACACCATCACTGGTGCAAAAAAAGTGCAAAAAAACAATAGCCCTGTCCGTGACGGGGGGTCTCCCGTGGAGAATCTGCCCCCGCTTCCCCACCAGAGACCATCCGCCGCGGACGGGGCTCGACACCATGCCAAACGGGACCTCCCGGGGCGGGTTTTCGAAGGGGCCCGACAACATGTCAATTCCAAGGCCCGACACCACGCCAAAGGGGACCTCCCGGGATCATTACTACCCAAAACTGCCAAAAAAAAATCAGAAATCATTAAAATGAAGCGAAAATCAAAACAACAAATATTGAAAATCACAAAAATATGCACAAAAATGTAAACAAACACTAGTACTGTCCGCGGCGGGGGGTCTCCCGTGGAGAATCTGGCCTCGATTCTCCACCAGAGACCATCCGCCGCGGACGGGGCCCGAAACCATGCCAAACGGGATCTCCCGGGGCCCGACACCATGTCAAATCCAAGGCCCGACACCAAGTCAAACGGGACCTCCCGGGACCATTACTACCCAAAACTGCAAAAAAATCAGAAATCGTTAAAATAAAGCCAAAAAAAAAAAAAAAAACATTGAAAATAATCAAAATATACGCAAAACTGCAAAAAAAACACCAGTCTTGTCCGCGGCGGGGGGTCTCCCGTGGAGAATCTGGCCCCGATTCCCCACCGCGCCTGTCATAGGCCTGTCAACAGGCTTGCCCACGGCATTGGCACCAAACTTGTCAACGGGCCTGTCACCAGTGCTGTCAACAAGCTTGTCAACGGGCCTGTCAACGGATCTGTCAACGGCGCCGTCAACGGCGCTGTCAATGGCGCTGTCCATACCTCTGCCAGCGGTGGTGTTAACGGAGCTCTGAGCAGCGCTATCACCAGGTCTGACACTCGCGCAGTCGTCAGGCATGCCCACGGCATAGTCAACAAGCTTGTCAACGGGCCTGTCACCAGTGCTGTCAACAAGCTTGTCAATGGGCCTGTCAACGGATCTGTCAACGGCGCTGTCAACGGCGCTGTCAATGGCACTGTCCATACGCCTGTCAATAGTGCTGCCAATGGATTTGTCAACAGCGCTGCCACCGGCGCTGTCACCACGCTTGGCGTCAGTGCTATCAATAGATCCGTCAACGGCGCTGTCAACGGATCTGTCCATGGATCTGTCGAAGGATCTGTCAATGGATCCGCCGCGGACGGGGCCCGACACCATGCCAAACGGGACCTCCCGGGGCGGGTTTTCGAAGGGGCCCGACACCATGTCAAATCCAAGGCCCGACACCATGCCAAACGGGACCTCCCGGGACCATTACTACCCAAAACTGCAAAAAAAACACCAGAAATCATTAAAATATAGCCAAAATCACAAAAAAAAAAACACTGAAAATCACCAAAATATACCCAAAACTGCAAAAAAACACCAGCACTGTCCGCGGCGGGGGGTCTCCCGTGGAGAATCTGGCCCCGATTCCCCACCAGAGACCATCCGCCGTGGACGGGGCCCGACATCATGCCAAACGGGACCTCCCGGGGCGGGTTTTCGAAGGCGCTCGACACCATGTCAAATCCAAGGCCCGACACCATGCCAAACGGGACCTCCCGGGACCATTACTACCCAAAACTGCAAAAAAAACATTAGAAATCATTACAATATAGCCAAAATCACAAAAAAAACACTGAAAATCACCAAAATATATCTAAAACTGCAAAAAAAAAAAAACACCAGCACTGTCCGCGGCGGGGGGTCTCCCGTGGAGAATCTGGCCCCGATTCCCCACCAGAGACCATCCGCCGCGGACGGGGCCCGACACCACGCCAAACGGGACCTCCCGGGGCCCGACACCATGTCAAATCCAAGGCCCGACACCATGCCAAACGGGACCTCCCGGGACCATTACTACCCAAAACTGCAAAAAAACATTAGAAATCATTAAATTATAATCAAAATCGCAACAAAAAAAAAAAAAAAAAAAAAAAAAAAAAAAATAAACACTGGCAATCACCAAAAATATACCCCAAACTGCAAACAAACACCATCACTGTCCGCGGCGGGGGTTCTCCCGTGCAGAATCTGGCCCCGATTCCCCACCAGAGACCATCCGCCGCGGACGGGGCCCGACACCATGCCAAACGGGACCTCCCGGGACCATTACTACCCAAAACTGCAAAAAAACACCAGAAATCATTAAAATAAAACCAAAATCACAACAAAAAACACTGAAAATCACCAAAATATACCCAAAACTGCAAACAAACACTAGCACTGTCCGCGGCGGGGGGTCTCCCGTGGAGAATCTGGCCCCGATTCCCCACCAAAGACCATCCGCCGCGGACGGGGCCCGACACCATGCCAAACGTAACCTCCCGAGACGATTACTACCCAAAACTGCAAAAAAACACCAGAAATCATTAAAATAAAACCAAAATCACAACAAAAAACACTGAAAATTACCAACATATACCCAAAACTGCAAAAAAAACACCATCACTGTCCGCGGCGGGAGGTCTCCCGTCGAGAATCTGGCCCCGATTCCCCACCAGAGACCATCCGCCTTGGACGGGGCCCGACACCATGCCAAACGGGACCTCCCGGGACCATTACTACCCAAAACTGCAAAAAAAAACACCAGAAATCATTAAAATATAGACAAAATCAAAAAAAAAAAAAAAAAACTGAAAATCACCAAAATATTACCCAAAACTGCAAAAAAAAAACACCATCACTGTCCGCGGCGGGGGGGTCTACCGGGGAGAAGTGGCCCCGACTTTGCCCACCCAGAGACCATCCGCGCGGACGGGGACCGCACACCATGCCAAACGGGACCTCCAGGACATTACTACCAAAAAATGCAAAAAAATACCAGAAATCATTTAAAATAAACCCAAAAATCCAACAAAAAACACTGAAATCACCAAAATATATACCCAAAACTGCAAAAAAAAAACAATCACTGTCGCGGCGGGGGGTCTTTTCCCACCCCCCCCAATTCCTTTTTCCTTTTTCTTCTCCCACCCCCCCACCACCACAACCACGTGGCGAATCTGGCTCGATTCCCCACAGGTAGCCCATCGCCGCGGACGGGGCCCGGGACACCATGCCAAACGGGACCTACCGGGACCATTACTACCCAAAACTGCAAAAAAACAACAGAAATCATTAAAATATAGCCAAACTCATAAAAAAAAACACTGAAAATCACCAACATATGCCCAAAACTGCAAAAAAACACCATCACTGTCCGCGGCGGGGGGTCTCCCGTGGAGAATCTGGCCCCACATCCCACAGAGACCCATCCGCCGCGGACGGGGGCCCGACACCAGTCAACAGAACCTCCCCAGGACCATTACTCCAAAAACTGCAAAAAAAAACAGTAGGAATTCATTAAAATATAACCAAAATCACAAAACAAAAAAAAAAAAAAACACTGGAAAATCACAAAAAAATATACCCAAAACTGCAAAAAAACACCATCACTGTCCGCGGCGGGGGGTCTCCCGTGGAGAATCTGGCCC